CCATGACAGCCACCAGGCAGTGGTCCGAGAAAAAAAAAACTGGTTTAACTTCATATCCGTGCAGATGATGCGTTATCTCAAGTGACACATAGATTCTATCTCAGCGCGCCCGCGACGCCCCTTGAAGATGAGTGTAACGCAGTCTAGTGCTTTGAATCTGCAAGTCACCTACATCTACTAGCCCGCCGCGCTCAATTATCTCCGTCAGTGCTGCACTGCCTTTATCGCTAACCGCGACACCGGGAATCTACCGTCTTTGTTGCAGACACAGTTAAAATCACCCAGCAGCACAGCTACTCTATCGCACTGGAGATAAATTTGCACGTTGCGAAGGAAGTCCTCTTTGTCTTTAGGATTGTTTGGGCCGTAGACACAAGCTATCCGCCACTATTGAGCATATAATGCGAAATCGCAAATAATCATCCGACCTTGACTGTCTGTTCCAACGCGAACATTTGAAAGGGGAACACTTTTCTTCGAGAACAAAAGACGTCCGTCCGACATACCCTCTGCGTGACTTACGCATACTTTGTACTGGACAAGAAAGGGTCGCAATGCAGGGGCTATAATCTCATCTTCGACCATTTTAGGCTCCTGAACTGCTAAAAAGTCCGAGTCTTTCATCATAAAGAAGCCTTTGTAACTCATGTTTCTTTCTTGAGTGAACCCCACGAACATTTCAGGTTGTAAAACATAATGTTTTTTCTCCGTGATCAAACATTCCCATCTTTCTTAAGTCTTGCACTATAGACGGTTCCCAGCTTTGCCCGTCCCCCCCCCCCCCCCCCCTACACTACTTAAAGGAGCTGTGCAACGATATTCAATTGGAATGTTTTTCTCTCTACACGAGCTTACTGGCACACCTGGGACTCAAGGATACTCACACGCAACGCCACTGGCCAAGAAACACCTTTGTTGCGGTGTAATTTCAAGGACATAAGCGATCATTTTCATTCAATCTCTCCTTTGCAAAATTTAATGACGTAACTCGGGGATCGCAGTACACCCAAGTGACGATATTTGAATGCGGTTCATAGATTGGACCCGAGCATTGCGTGGGCACTCGACTTGGGCTCGTGACAATTGCTAGCTCGAGAAGCATTCGGGTTGTGACCCGTGTCCAATCGCTGCAACGACGACAACAGCCGAGCCATAACAATGTCTGGAACTCAGCGCGTGTCCTGCGCTTTGCCAACCCTAGAGCCACTAAATAAGCTGCGCTTAGAGTATCGGCACTCCGTTCCTGGACATTGTTGTGGGCGCCGCCATTTCGGCTCGTATGCAGAACAGACGCAACGGCCGATCGTCATGATTCAAAAGTGCGACTTCCTCAGCATTAGATTCGGTGTTAGGAAGGTCACGTAATATTGCTTTGCTCTGTCGCGAACGGTTTAAACATTTGTGGAGGGCAGAAAAGCATTTCCTGTGATTTCAGATAAAGCTTTAGATAACTGGCAACCATGATTTTAAGCCACAATATGGCCAAGTGTCGTTACTCTGAAGCGTAGCTTATTTAGTGGCACTAGCCAACCCCAGTGCGTGGCTATGATCAACACTGGCGGCATATAATCGGCTCCAGATCACGTGGCCGCTTGTTCTGGCTGCGAGTTGAGGGGGTGAACGCTGCTCGTTTTTCTTTAATTTTTTTCTGGGACTTCTATTGCGTGGGGTGAAAAACGAACGCGTGTTTCATAGGTCATTAACGTTAGGGATCCGTTTTAAGCGGTATTTGTGCAAAGTACAAAAATTGTTGCATTGCTCCTTTAACGGGTTGTCATGGTGACTTGCTTTTCTACTTTTCTCGAACACGACTAGTGATCGGTCCAGCATTGTCCACCCGTTATAGTGAGTCCCTTCGCTGTCGAACAGTTGACCCGACTTGGTTCTTGGAGGCCGACCGCAGCCTCTTTGGCCTTTCCGTGCGCTTTGCTGTTGTGTCTGCCGTTTTTAGCCTCTTCGGCTCACCCTCCTTACCGTGTGCGGCAGGAAGGGATCGCTTGAGGGGTCCGTCTATACACCCCATCACCTCGTCGTTTCCGTTGCTGTCGCTCGTGCCTTATACGCCACTGGTGACTGCAGGGGAAGGAGGGAGGGGGGAGGGGGGGGGGGGCTGGGGCTCGCTTGGTGCCTTGACTTTGAGCTGGCCGGTACTTGGATGAGAGCAGGCAGTCAACTGCGACGGCGTTTCTCGTGGTTATTGAGGAGCCGCAGGTAGGCGTTCCCCCTCCCCGGTTCCTGCCGTCTCCCGCGCGGCTTCCTCGGTCTTGTACTGATCCATTTAAGCTCCATGTCTTCGTCTTTTATCGTCACATTTGCTGCAGACGCGTTTGTCTTTATGCAGTCTTCTTGGGTGTGCCCAAAATGTCTGCAACTGTCCCAACGTGGGATCCGGCACTCCTTTCGGATGGGCCCAACCCTGCGACATCGCAAAGGCAGCGGGGGCCGACAGGGGGCGACAACGAGCACCATACCCCCTGCCAGACGAACCTGGTGCGGGAGGTTTTCTTTGGTTTTGCCTTCCTTAAGAGTCAGGCGTGCCAGCCTTGTCGTCAACTGAACGCCTTAAACCCTTCCACGTGCCACTTTTTTCTCGTGACTTCCTCAACTCTCCCGTAGGGCTCAAACGCTGTCTTCACGTTGTCATCGGTCACATGGTAGGGGACCCAATGGAGTCTCAGACGTACCTCGGTCTTGTCCAGATCAATTACGAGGCAGCGCTTTCCTTTGACGAGAAGTTCCTTCGCACTTACCAGTTTGTGCTTTGCGGCCTAGGGAATGCAGGGTAACCATCCAAACATGGTTCATCTGGTACGAACCGCATGCCCCAACCTTCTTGAGAACTCCGACGGTTTCCAGGCTGTTCCTGAAGTCTTCGATGCGGTATTGCCGCCCGGAAATATCGCAGTGTAGAAACATAAAATCAAGAACGTTAACTCCCATTGCCAACTGGGGCAAGATGATTCGGTAACCTTTTTCCCGAGAGTCCGATGTAGCACCGTGGCTATCAATAGCCGTTGATAAAGCTCCGGGGGAGCTCATGATTTCCGTCCGCACGCCACGGCAGTTAGAAGAAGAATCCTATAGACGTTTTTTGTTTCCTTTCGTTCTCAGTCACGTCGGTTCCGTATGTGGTTTGTGGGAAGAAAAAAGTATAAACCATTTCATCTTGGAATATCCGAAAAAATATAGGTGAGGCAAAACAAGAATGTGTGACAATCACGCAATCTTCGTAAACACCTTCCCGCGGCGTGAAGAGATCAAAATCATGTTTTACCGCATACCAGAAGTGACGACATTCAAAATGGCTGCGCCCTTATGGAAAAGGTGTACAGGTAGAAAGAGAAAATTAGGCGATAAAGATACGAGTAGATGACACACTGAGTTATGATTTACGAAGGCTGATTTAGATAATAAGAAGTGCACAATGGAAGCAGAGAATCTGACGGCCGCAATAAATTGCTCGTAGAAGTAAACAATAAACGCGGATGTATATTCCAGGAGTGTGGCTTGTCCAGTGCTAGCTAGACAATTCTAAAATAAACACAGAATGTTTCTTAATGCTTTTATATCTTGAATAAAATATTATTGTTCAGCTCGGAAATAGGAATTGCAGGTGTTTCCAAACCGCGTTTCGAGTTTTAAAATTGTATGAAATATTATCATCTGTTTTCGAATGGCTGACTGCTCGTACCGCGTGCTTCTCGTGACAGCCAAGTGACGCGTGTACATAGTTTTTTTTTTTTATTTGTGTCCTGGCATAACCGCTTCTATACTCACAAAGCCTGGCAGTTCGACGACAGAGCCATGGAGTGCCCGGTCGCAGATTTGGAGCGCGAGGAACGGTAGCACAGAGGATCAAAGAACCATTTTTCGGAAAACCTTGGTGGGAACGCACAGCTTTTGCAGTGGTGAGGACACAAAACACACTTGCTCGCTCAGGAGAAGTGTGTTTCGGCGTCTCGCCGTAGCGGGGCGCCAGTCACGTGGCGCTCCTATCGCCCGTTGTGTGCCGCTCCACATTTTCCATTTCGGCGGCCGCTTCCTGCGGTGGTCTGCCAGGCTTTGCAAGTATATAGAAGCTATGGTCCTTTTAAGTTCTTTTTGGCATTATTTGGTACTTTGATACACCCTAGTTCATTTCCTACGATATCATCACCAAGCAAGAGCATCGTCTAGCCACTGTTTCCTAGTGTCGGTGAGAGAGTGAGAAAGGGGGGGAGTAGAGTCACTAAATAACGCTTCCAGAGTACCGCATTCCTTTTCTTTGGCACTTTGCCGACAATGCAGTCGCTCTATCCAACAATATTCTGGTTCGCTGCGGCATCATTGGACAGCGGCAGTCACGTGGGTCACTATCATCATCATCGCGTTTTCTCGACGCCACCATCTTGGTCCGCGCACGTTGAAGCGTTGAAGTCCGTTTCTCAGCACGCGCGTTTTCCGTGAGATACGAACAACACGACCTTGATTCGAGTTGATATGCGTGCTTAGTTCAGGGTTTCCTCAGTATTCCGCATGACATCCAATTCAAAGCGTAGCTTTGCCCGTGCCATACGAAGAACCGATGCCGCGGAGATTCGCGTTTGGATCTCGACGTATAAGCGCGAGACCGCTACCATGTGAAGCATCTAAAGTGTCGCAGTGTAGTTTGTGCAACAATGCCTGCTTGCTGTGGGTTCGGGTGTGCCAACAGGTCAGAGAATGGGAAAAGACTCTTCCGCATTCCGTTGGGAAAGGGCGCGACAGCGAGACGTAAAGCATGGTTAACCGTTGTAAACCGAAAAGATTTCAAGCCCGGCGCGGGAAGCAAGCTTTGTGAGGTGAGTGCGTTTAGCAGCTGTTCTGCTCCGCGTATCGCTTTGAAAGTCCTCAACCATCGCCGACTGAACGTGAGAGCGGCTACTTCAGGCTTTTATTATAATGCCTTCTAGGATCACTTCGAGCAGTCTCAGTTCGAAAACCACCGAGCCGATGACAGGAAGCTGCTTAAACAAGATGCAGTGCCTACTATTCTTGGCTCCGGGCGTAACTCAAACGAGCTAAAACGCAACAGAAAGATGCCAGTGAAGCAAGTTTCAGCCTTTCTGTCAGGTATGTGAAAAAAAATAAAAAATAGAGATTACGAGTGGCACTGACGTGCTTTTGTTGAACTGTGTTGGTAACTGACACTCCCTGAAATAACCTTTCAGACACCGTGCGGACAGACTCTCCCGCCTCTGACTGCCACAAGACCTTGAGCCCAGAAAGCGCAACAGGTTACAGTGAAAGTAAGTCTGCCTCCACAGTTTCTGTGCACATCAAATAGCTGTCATGATTTAGGGTGGCCCAACACCGCTTATGTGTAGTCCTGTTTGCTTCCCATCTTCTGTGCAACACATTAACGCGCACACTTTGCGCAGGAAACCCTGACGGAGCTTTCTCGGGCTGCACAGTTGAGACTCCGAGCAACAGTGCCACGTTGGAAGGTTGGGAAGGCACTCTGTTCTTTTGTTTGTGTTTTTTCTCTCCATGCAATAACCTTTCCAGACGCCATGCCGACAGAGTCTCACGCCTCTGACTGCCACGAGACCTTGAGCCCAGGAAGCGCAGCGGGTTACACTGAAAGTAAGTGGGCCTCCACAGTTTCTCAGCACATCAAATAACTGTCATGATTTAGGGGGGGCCTGACACTGTTTATGTGTAATCCTGTTTGCTTCCCATCTTCTGTGCAAAGCATTAACACGCACACTTTGCGCAGGGAAACCTGACAGAGCTCTCTCGGGCTGCACAATTGAGACTCCGAGCGACAGTGCCGTGTTGCAAGGTTAGGAGGGCGCTGTGCTCTTTTGTTGAGCTATGTTGGCAACTGACTCTCCCTGCAATAACCTTTCCAGATGCCATGTCGACAGACTTTCACGCCTCCGACTGCCACGAGACCTTGAGCCCAGGAAGCGCAGCGGGTTACAGTGAAAGTAAGTTTTCCTCCACAGTTTCTCCGCACATCAAATAACTGTCATGATTTAGGGGTGGCCCAACACCGCTTATGTGTAGTCCTGTTTGCTTCCCATCTTCTGTGCAAAGCATTAACACGCACACTTTGCGCAGGGAAACCTGACAGAGCTCTCTCGGGCTGCACAATTGAGACTCCGAGCGACAGTGCCGTGTTGCAAGGTTAGGAGGGCGCTGTGCTCTTTTGTTGAGCTATGTTGGCAACTGACTCTCCCTGCAATAACCTTTCCAGATGCCATGTCGACAGACTTTCACGCCTCTGACTGCCACGAGACATTGAGCCCAGGAAGCGCAGCGGGGTACAGTGAAAGTAAGTTTTCCTCCACAGTTTCTCCGCACATCAAATAACTGTCATGATTTAGGGGGGGCCTGACACCGTTTACGTGTAATCCTGTTTGCTTCCCATCTTCTGTGCAAAACATTAACACGCACACTTTGCGCAGGGAAACCTGACAGAGCTCTCTCAGGCTGCACATTTGAGACTCCGAGCGACACTGCCGTGTTGCAAGGTTAGGAAGGCGCTTTGCTCTTTTGTTGAGCTGTGTTGGCAACTGACTCTCCCTGCAATAACCTTTCCAGATGCCATGTCGACAGACTTTCAGCCCTCTGACTGCCACGAGACCTTGAGCCCAGGAAGCGCAGCGGGTTACAGTGAAAGTAAGTCTGCCTCCACAGTTTCTCCGCACATCAAATAACTGTCATGATTTAGGGGGGGCCTGACACTGTTTATGTGTAATCCTGTTTGCTTCCCATCTTCTGTGCAAAGCATTAACACGCACACTTTGCGCAGGGAAACCTGACAGAGCTCTCTCGGGCTGCACAATTGAGACTCCGAGCGACAGTGCCGTGTTGCAAGGTTAGGAGGGCGCTGTGCTCTTTTGTTGAGCTATGTTGGCAACTGACTCTCCCTGCAATAACCTTTCCAGATGCCATGTCGACAGACTTTCACGCCTCTGACTGCCACGAGACCTTGAGCCCAGGAAGCGCAGCGGGTTACAGTGAAAGTAAGTTTTCCTCCACAGTTTCTCCGCACATCAAATAACTGTCATGATTTAGGGGGGGCCTGACACCGTTTATGTGTAATCCTGTTTGCTTCCCATCTTCTGTGCAAAGCATTAACATGCACACTTTGCGCAGGGAAACCTGACAGAGCTCTCTCAGGCTGCACAATTGAGACTCCGAGCGACACTGCCGTGTTGCAAGGTTAGGAGGGCGCTGTGCTCTTTTGTTGAGCTATGTTGGCAACTGACTCTCCCTGCAATGACCTTTCCAGATGCCATGTCGACAGACTTTCACGCCTCTGACTGCCACGAGACCTTGAGCCCAGGAAGCGCAGCGGGTTACAGTGAAAGTAAGTTTTCCTCCACAGTTTCTCCGCACATCAAATAACTGTCATGATTTAGGGGGGGGCCTGACACCGTTTATGTGTAATCCTGTTTGCTTCCCATCTTCTGTGCAAAGCATTAACATGCACACTTTGCGCAGGGAAACCTGACAGAGCTCTCTCAGGCTGCACAATTGAGACTCCGAGCGACACTGCCGTGTTGCAAGGTTAGGAGGGCGCTGTGCTCTTTTGTTGAGCTATGTTGGCAACTGACTCGCCTTGCAATAACCTTTCCAGATGCCATGTCGACAGACTTTCACGCCTCTGACTGCCACGAGACCTTGAGCCCAGGAAGCGCAGCGGGTTACAGTGAAAGTAAGTTTTCCTCCACAGTTTCTCCGCACATCAAAGAACTGTCATGATTTAGGGGGGGCCTGACACCGTTTATGTGTAATCCTGTTTGCTTCCCATCTTCTGTGCAAAGCATTAACATGCACACTTTGCGCAGGGAAACCTGACAGAGCTCTCTCAGGCTGCACAATTGAGACTCCGAGCGACACTGCCGTGTTGCAAGGTTAGGAAGGCGCTTTGCCCTTTTGTTGAGCTATGTTGGCAACTGACTCTCCCTGCAATAACCTTTCCAGATGCCATGTCGACAGACTTTCACACCTCTGACTGCCACGAGACCTTGAGCCCAGGAAGCGCAGCGGGTTACAGTGAAAGTAAGTTTTCCTCCACAGTTTCTCCGCACATCAAATAACTGTCATGATTTAGGGGGGGGCTGACACCGTTTATGTGTAATCCTGTTTGCTTCCCATCTTCTGTGCAAAGCATTAACATGCACACTTTGCGCAGGGAACCCTGACAAAGCTCTCTCAGGCTGCACAATTGAGACTCCGAGCGACACTGCCGTGTTGCAAGGTTAGGAAGGCGCTTTGCTCTTTTGTTGAGCTATGTTGGCAACTGACTCTCCCTGCAATAACCTTTCCAGATGCCATGTCGGCAGACTTTCACGCCTCTGTCTGCCACGAGACCTTGAGCCCAGGAAGCGCAGCGGGTTACAGTGAAAGTAAGTTTTCCTCCACAGTTTCTCCGCACATCAAATAACTGTCATGATTTAGGGGGGGCCAGACACCGTTTATGTGTAATCCTGTTTGCTTCCCATCTTCTGTGCAAAGCATTAACATGCACACTTTGCGCAGGGAACCCTGACAAAGCTCTCTCAGGCTGCACAATTGAGACTCCGAGCGACACTGCCGTGTTGCAAGGTTAGGAAGGCGCTTTGCTCTTTTGTTGAGCTATGTTGGCAACTGACTCTCCCTGCAATAACCTTTCCAGATGCCATGTCGGCAGACTTTCACGCCTCTGACTGCCACGAGACCTTGAGCCCAGGAAGCGCAGCGGGTTACAGTGAAAGTAAGTTTTCCTCCACAGTTTCTCCGCACATCAAATAACTGTCATGATTTAGGGGGGGCCTGACACCGTTTATGTGTAATCCTGTTTGCTTCCCATCTTCTGTGCAAAGCATTAACATGCACACTTTGCGCAGGGAAACCTGACAGAGCTCTCTCAGGCTGCACAATTGAGACTCCGAGCGACACTGCCGTGTTGCAAGGTTAGGAAGGCGCTTTGCTCTTTTGTTGAGCTATGTTGGAAACTGACTCTCCCTGCAATAACCTTTCCAGATGCCATGTCGACAGACTTTCACGCCTCTGACTGCCACGAGACCTTGAGCCCAGGAAGCGCAGCGGGTTACAGTGAAAGTAAGTTTTCCTCCACAGTTTCTCCGCACATCAAATAACTGTCATGATTTAGGGGGGGCCTGACACCGTTTATGTGTAATCCTGTTTGCTTCCCATCTTCTGTGCAAAGCATTAACATGCACACTTTGCGCAGGGAACCCTGACAAAGCTCTCTCAGGCTGCACAATTGAGACTCCGAGCGACACTGCCGTGTTGCAAGGTTAGGAAGGCGCTTTGCTCTTTTGTTGAGCTATGTTGGCAACTGACTCTCCCTGCAATAACCTTTCCAGATGCCATGTCGGCAGACTTTCACGCCTCTGACTGCCACGAGACCTTGAGCCCAGGAAGCGCAGCGGGTTACAGTGAAAGTAAGTTTTCCTCCACAGTTTCTCCGCACATCAAATAACTGTCATGATTTAGGGGGGGCCTGACACCGTTTATGTGTAATCCTGTTTGCTTCCCATCTTCTGTGCAAAGCATTAACATGCACACTTTGCGCAGGGAACCCTGACAAATCTCTCTCAGGCTGCACAATTGAGACTCCGAGCCACACTGCCGTGTTGCAAGGTTAGGAAGGCGCTTTGCTCTTTTGTTGAGCTATGTTGGCAACTGACTCTCCCTGCAATAACCTTTCCGGATGCCATGTCGGCAGACTTTCACGCCTCTGACTGCCACGAGACCTTGAGCCCAGGAAACGCAGCGGGTTTCAGTGAAAGTAAGTTTTCCTCCACAGTTTCTCCGCACATCAAATAACTGTCATGATTTAGGGGGGGCCTGACACCGTTTATGTGTAATCCTGTTTGCTTCCCATCTTCTGTGCAAAGCATTAACATGCACACTTTGCGCAGGGAAACCTGACAGAGCTCTCTCAGGCTGCACAATTGAGACTCCGAGCGACAGTGCCGTGTTGCAAGGTTAGGAAGGCGCTTTGCTCTTTTGTTGAGCTATGTTGGCAACTGACTCTCCCTGCAATAACCTTTCCAGATGCCATGTCGGCAGACTTTCACGCCTCTGACTGCCACGAGACCTTGAGCCCAGGAAGCGCAGTGGGTTACAGTGAAAGTAAGTTTTCCTCCACAGTTTCTCCGCACATCAAATAACTGTCATGATTTAGGGGGGGCCTGACACCGTTTATGTGTAATCCTGTTTGCTTCCCATCTTCTGTGCAAAGCATTAACATGCACACTTTGCGCAGGGAAACCTGACAGAGCTCTCTCAGGCTGCACAATTGAGACTCCGAGCGACACTGCCGTGTTGCAAGGTTAGGAGGGCGCTGTGCTCTTTTGTTGAGCTATGTTGGCAACTGACTCTCCCTGCAATAACCTTTCCAGATGCCATGTCGGCAGACTTTCACGCCTCTGACTGCCACGAGACCTTGAGCCCAGGAAGCGCAGCGGGTTACAGTGAAAGTAAGTTTTCCTCCACAGTTTCTCCGCACATCAAATAACTGTCATGATTTAGGGGAGGCCTGACACCGTTTATGTGTAATCCTGTTTGCTTCCCATTTTCTGTGCAAAGCATTAACATGCACACTTTGCGCAGGGAAACCTGACAGAGCTCTCTCAGGCTGCACAATTGAGACTCCGAGCGACACTGCCGTGTTGCAAGGTTAGGAAGGCGCTTTGCTCTTTTGTTGCGCTATGTTGGCAACTGACTCTCCCTGCAATAACCTTTCCAGATGCCATGTCGACAGACTTTCACGCCTCTGACTGCCACGAGACCTTGAGCCCAGGAAGCGCAGCGGGTTACAGTGAAAGTAAGTTTTCCTCCACAGTTTCTCCGCACATCAAATAACTGTCATGATTTAGGGGGGGCCTGACACCGTTTATGTGTAATCCTGTTTGCTTCCCATCTTCTGTGCAAAACATTAACACGCACACTTTGCGCACGGAAACCTGACAGAGCTCTCTCAGGCTGCACAATTGAGACTCCGAGCGACACTGCCGTGTTGCAAGGTTAGGAGGGCGCTGTGCTCTTTTGTTGAGCTATGTTGGCAACTGACTCTCCCTGCAATAACCTTTCCAGATGCCATGTCGACAGACTTTCACGCCTCTGACTGCCACGAGACCTTGAGCCCAGGAAGCGCAGCGGGTTACAGTGAAAGTAAGTTTTCCTCCACAGTTTCTCCGCACATCAAATAACTGTCATGATTTAGGGGGGGCCTGACACCGTTTATGTGTAATCCTGTTTGCTTCCCATCTTCTGTGCAAAGCATTAACATGCACACTTTGCGCAGGGAACCCTGACAAAGCTCTCTCAGGCTGCACAATTGAGACTCCGAGCGACACTGCCGTGTTGCAAGGTTAGGAAGGCGCTTTGCTTTTTTGTTAAGCTATGTTGGCAACTGACTCTCCCTGCAATAACCTTTCCAGATGCCATGTCGACAGACTTTCAGCCCTCTGACTGCCACGAGACCTTGAGCCCAGGAAGCGCAGCGGGTTACAGTGAAAGTAAGTTTTCCTCCACAGTTTCTCCGCACATCAAATAACTGTCATGATTTAGGGGGGGCCTGACACCGTTTATGTGTAATCCTGTTTGCTTCCCATATTCTGTGCAAAGCATTAACATGCACACTTTGCGCAGGGAAACCTGACAGAGCTCTCTCAGGCTGCACAATTGAGACTCCGAGCGACACTGCCGTGTTGCAAGGTTAGGAGGGCGCTGTGCTCTTTTGTTGAGCTATGTTGGCAACTGACTCGCCTTGCAATAACCTTTCCAGATGCCATGTCGACAGACTTTCACGCCTCTGACTGCAACGAGACCTTGAGCCCAGGAAGCGCAGCGGGTTACAGTGAAAGTAAGTTTTCCTCCACAGTTTCTCCGCACATCAAATAACTGTCATGATTTAGGGGGGGCCTGACACCGTTTATGTGTAATCCTGTTTGCTTCCCATATTCTGTGCAAAGCATTAACATGCACACTTTGCGCAGGGAACCCTGACAAAGCTCTCTCAGGCTGCACAATTGAGACTCCGAGCGACACTGCCGTGTTGCAAGGTTAGGAAGGCGCTTTGCTCTTTTGTTGAGCTATGTTGGCAACCGACTCTCCCTGCAATAACCTTTCCAGATGCCATGTCGACAGACTTTCACGCCTCTGACTGCCACGAGACCTTGAGCCCAGGAAGCGCAGCGGGTTACAGTGAAAGTAAGTTTTCCTCCACAGTTTCTCCGCACATCAAATAACTGTCATGATTTAGGGGGGGCCTTACACCGTTTATGTGTAATCCTGTTTGCTTCCCATATTCTGTGCAAAGCATTAACATGCACACTTTGCGCAGGGAACCCTGACAAAGCTCTCTCAGGCTGCACAATTGAGACTCCGAGCGACACTGCCGTGTTGCAAGGTTAGGAAGGCGCTTTGCCCTTTTGTTGAGCTATGTTGGCAACTGACTCTCCCTGCAATAACCTTTCCAGATGCCATGTCGACAGACTTTCACACCTCTGACTGCCACGAGACCTTGAGCCCAGGAAGCGCAGCGGGTTACAGTGAAAGTAAGTTTTCCTCCACAGCTTCTCCGCACATCAAATAACTGTCATGATTTAGGGGGGGCCTGACACCGTTTATGTGTAATCCTGTTTGCTTCCCATCTTCTGTGCAAAGCATTAACATGCACACTTTGCGCAGGGAAACCTGACAGAGCTCTCTCAGGCTGCACAATTGAGACTCCGAGCGACACTGCCGTGTTGCAAGGTTAGGAAGGCGCTTTGCTCTTTTGTTCAGCTATGTTGGCAACTGACTCTCCCTGCAATAACCTTTCCAGATGCCATGTCGGCAGACTTTCACGCCTCTGACTGCCACGAGACCTTGAGCCCAGGAAGCGCAGCGGGTTACAGTGAAAGTAAGTTTTCCTCCACAGTTTCTCCGCACATCAAATAACTGTCATGATTTAGGGGGGGCCTGACACCGTTTATGTGTAATCCTGTTTGCTTCCCATCTTCTGTGCAAAGCATTAACATGCACACTTTGCGCAGGGAAACCTGACAGAGCTCTCTCAGGCTGCACAATTGAGACTCCGAGCGACACTGCCGTGTTGCAAGGTTAGGAAGGCGCTTTGCTCTTTTGTTGAGCTATGTTGGCAACTGACTCTCCCTGCAATAACCTTTCCAGATGCCATGTCGGCAGACTTTCACGCCTCTGACTGCCACGAGACCTTGAGCCCAGGAAGCGCAGCGGGTTACAGTGAAAGTAAGTTTTCCTCCACAGTTTCTCCGCACATCAAATAACTGTCATGATTTAGGGGGGGCCTTACACCGTTTATGTGTAATCCTGTTTGCTTCCCATCTTCTGTGCAAAGCATTAACATGCACACTTTGCGCAGGGAAACCTGACAGAGCTCTCTCAGGCTGCACAATTGAGACTCCGAGCGACACTGCCGTGTTGCAAGGTTAGGAAGGCGCTTTGCCCTTTTGTTGAGCTATGTTGGCAACTGACTCTCCCTGCAATAACCTTTCCAGATGCCATGTCGACAGACTTTCACACCTCTGACTGCCACGAGACCTTGAGCCCAGGAAGCGCAGCGGGTTACAGTGAAAGTAAGTTTTCCTCCACAGCTTCTCCGCACATCAAATAACTGTCATGATTTAGGGGGGGCCTGACACCGTTTATGTGTAATCCTGTTTGCTTCCCATCTTCTGTGCAAAGCATTAACATGCACACTTTGCGCAGGGAAACCTGACAAAGCTCTCTCAGGCTGCACAATTGAGACTCCGAGCGACACTGCCGTGTTGCAAGGTTAGGAAGGCGCTTTGCTCTTTTGTTGAGCTATGTTGGCAACTGACTCTCCCTGCAATAACCTTTCCAGATGCCATGTCGGCAGACTTTCACGCCTCTGACTGCCACGAGACCTTGAGCCCAGGAAGCGCAGCGGGTTACAGTGAAAGTAAGTTTTCCTCCACAGTTTCTCCGCACATCAAATAACTGTCATGATTTAGGGGGGGCCTGACACCGTTTATGTGTAATCCTGTTTGCTTCCCATCTTCTGTGCAAAGCATTAACATGCACACTTTGCGCAGGGAAACCTGACAGAGCTCTCTCAGGCTGCACAATTGAGACTCCGAGCGACACTGCCGTGTTGCAAGGTTAGGAAGGCGCTTTGCTCTTTTGTTGAGCTATGTTGGAAACTGACTCTCCCTGCAATAACCTTTCCAGATGCCATGTCGACAGACTTTCACGCCTCTGACTGCCACGAGACCTTGAGCCCAGGAAGCGCAGCGGGTTACAGTGAAAGTAAGTTTTCCTCCACAGTTTCTCCGCACATCAAATAACTGTCATGATTTAGGGGGGGCCTGACACCGTTTATGTGTAATCCTGTTTGCTTCCCATCTTCTGTGCAAAGCATTAACATGCACACTTTGCGCAGGGAACACTGACAAAGCTCTCTCAGGCTGCACAATTGAGACTCCGAGCGACACTGCCGTGTTGCAAGGTTAGGAAGGCGCTTTGCTCTTTTGTTGAGCTATGTTGGCAACTGACTCTCCCTGCAATAACCTTTCCAGATGCCATGTCGGCAGACTTTCACGCCTCTGACTGCCACGAGACCTTGAGCCCAGGAAGCGCAGCGGGTTACAGTGAAAGTAAGTTTTCCTCCACAGTTTCTCCGCACATCAAATAACTGTCATGATTTAGGGGGGGCCTGACACCGTTTATGTGTAATCCTGTTTGCTTCCCATCTTCTGTGCAAAGCATTAACATGCACACTTTGCGCAGGGAACCCTGACAAATCTCTCTCAGGCTGCACAATTGAGACTCCGAGCGACACTGCCGTGTTGCAAGGTTAGGAAGGCGCTTTGCTCTTTTGTTGAGCTTTGTTGGCAACTGACTCTCCCTGCAATAACCTTTCCAGATGCCATGTCGGCAGACTTTCACGCCTCTGACTGCCACGAGACCTTGAGCCCAGGAAGCGCAGCGGGTTACAGTGAAAGTAAGTTTTCCTCCACAGTTTCTCCGCACATCAAATAACTGTCATGATTTAGGGGGGGCCTGACACCGTTTATGTGTAATCCTGTTTGCTTCCCATCTTCTGTGCAAAGCATTAACATGCACACTTTGCGCAGGGAAACCTGACAGAGCTCTCTCAGGCTGCACAATTGAGACTCCGAGCGACACTGCCGTGTTGCAAGGTTAGGAGGGCGCTGTGCTCTTTTGTTGAGCTATGTTGGCAACTGACTTTCCCTGCAATAACCTTTCCAGATGCCATGTCGGCAGACTTTCACGCCTCTGACTGCCACGAGACCTTGAGCCCAGGAAGCGCAGCGGGTTACAGTGAAAGTAAGTTTTCCTCCACAGTTTCTCCGCACATCAAATAACTGTCATGATTTAGGGGGGGCCTGACACCGTTTATGTGTAATCCTGTTTGCTTCCCATTTTCTGTGCAAAGCATTAACATGCACACTTTGCGCAGGGAAACCTGACAGAGCTCTCTCAGGCTGCACAATTGAGACTCCGAGCGACACTGCCGTGTTGCAAGGTTAGGAAGGCGCTTTGCTCTTTTGTTGAGCTATGTTGGCAACTGACTCTCCCTGCAATAACCTTTCCAGATGCCATGTCGACAGACTTTCACGCCTCTGACTGCCACGAGACCTTGAGCCCAGGAAGCGCAGCGGGTTACAGTGAAAGTAAGTTTTCCTCCACAGTTTCTCCGCACATCAAATAACTGTCATGATTTAGGGGGGGCCTGACACCGTTTATGTGTAATCCTGTTTGCTTCCCATCTTCTGTGCAAAACATTAACACGCACACTTTTCGCACGGAAACCTGACAGAGCTCTCTCAGGCTGCACAATTGAGACTCCGAGCGACACTGCCGTGTTGCAAGGTTAGGAGGGCGCTGTGCTCTTTTGTTGAGCTATGTTGGCAACTGACTCTCCCTGCAATAACCTTTCCAGATGCTATGTCGACAGACTTTCACGCCTCTGACTGCCACGAGACCTTGAGCCCAGGAAGCGCAGCGGGTTACAGTGAAAGTAAGTTTTCCTCCACAGTTTCTCCGCACATCAAATAACTGTCATGATTTAGGGGGGGCCTGACACCGTTTATGTGTAATCCTGTTTGCTTCCCATCTTCTGTGCAAAGCATTAACATGCACACTTTGCGCAGGGAAACCTGACAGAGCTCTCTCAGGCTGCACAATTGAGACTCCGAGCGACACTGCCGTGTTGCAAGGTTAGGAGGGCGCTGTGCTCTTTTGTTGAGCTATGTTGGCAACTGACTCTCCCTGCAATAACCTTTCCAGATGCCATGTCGACAGACTTTCACGCCTCTGACTGCCACGAGACCTTGAGCCCAGGAAGCGCAGCGGGTTACAGTGAAAGTAAGTTTTCCTCCACAGTTTCTCCGCACATCAAATAACTGTCATGATTTAGGGGGGGGGGGGGGGGGGGGCCTGACACCGTTTATGTGTAATCCTGTTTGCTTCCCATCTTCTGTGCAAAGCATTAACATGCACACTTTGCGCAGGGAAACCTGACAGAGCTCTCTCAGGCTGCACAATTGAGACTCCGAGCGACACTGCCGTGTTGCAAGGTTAGGAGGGCGCTGTGCTCTTTTGTTGAGCTATGTTGGCAACTGACTCGCCTTGCAATAACCTTTCCAGATGCCATGTCGACAGACTTTCACGCCTCTGACTGCCACGAGACCTTGAGCCCAGGAAGCGCAGCGGGTTACAGTGAAAGTAAGTTTTCCTCCACAGTTTCTCCGCACATCAAATAACTGTCATGATTTAGGGGGGGCCTGACACCGTTTATGTGTAATCCTGTTTGCTTCCCATCTTCTGTGCAAAGCATTAACATGCACACTTTGCGCAGGGAACCCTGACAAAGCTCTCTCAGGCTGCACAATTGAGACTCCGAGCGACACTGCCGTGTTGCAAGGTTAGGAAGGCGCTTTGCTCTTTTGTTGAGCTATGTTGGCAACCGACTCTCCCTGCAATAACCTTTCCAGATGCCATGTCGACAGACTTTCACGCCTCTGACTGCCACGAGACCTTGAGCCCAGGAAGCGCAGCGGGTTACAGTGAAAGTAAGTTTTCCTCCACAGTTTCTCCGCACATCAAATAACTGTCATGATTTAGGGGGGGCCTGACACCGTTTATGTGTAATCCTGTTTGCTTCCCATCTTCTGTGCAAAGCATTAACATGCACACTTTGCGCAGGGAAACCTGACAGAGCTCTCTCAGGCTGCACAATTGAGACTCCGAGCGACACTGCCGTGTTGCAAGGTTAGGAAGGCGCTTTGCTCTTTTGTTGAGCTATGTGGGCAACTGACTCTCCCTGCAATAACCTTTCCAGATGCCATGTCGACAGACTTTCACGCCTCTGACTGCCACGAGACCTTGAGCCCAGGAAGCGCAGCGGGTTACAGTGAAAGTAAGTTTTCCTCCACAGTTTCTCCGCACATCAAATAACTGTCATGATTTAGGGGGGGCCTGACACCGTTTATGTGTAATCCTGTTTGCTTCCCATCTTCTGTGCAAAGCATTAACATGCACACTTTGCGCAGGGAAACCTGACAGAGCTCTCTCAGGCTGCACAATTGAGACTCCGAGCGACACTGCCGTGTTGCAAGGTTAGGAAGGCGCTTTGCTCTTTTGTTGAGCTATGTTGGCAACTGACTCTCCCTGCAATAACCTTTCCAGATGCCATGTCGACAGACTTTCACGCCTCTGACTGCCACGAGACCTTGAGCCCAGGAAGCGCAGCGGGTTACAGTGAAAGTAAGTTTTCCTCCACAGTTTCTCCGCACATCAAATAACTGTCATGATTTAGGGGGGGCCTGACACCGTTTATGTGTAATCCTGTTTGCTTCCCATCTTCTGTGCAAAGCATTAACATGCACACTTTGCGCGGGGAAACCTGACAGAGCTCTCTCAGGCTGCACAATTGAGACTCCGAGCGACACTGCCGTGTTGCAAGGTTAGGAAGGCGCTTTGCTCTTTTGTTGAGCTATGTTGGCAACTGACTCTCCCTGCAATAACCTTTCCAGATGCCATGTCGACAGACTTTCACGCCTCTGACTGCCACGAGACCTTGAGCCCAGGAAGCGCAGCGGGTTACAGTGAAAGTAAGTTTTCCTCCACAGTTTCTCCGCACATCAAATAACTGTCATGATTTAGGGGGGGCCTGACACCGTTTATGTGTAATCCTGTTTGCTTCCCATCTTCTGTGCAAAGCATTAACATGCACACTTTGCGCAGGGAAACCTGACAGAGCTCTCTCAGGCTGCACAATTGAGACTCCGAGCGACACTGCCGTGTTGCAAGGTTAGGAGGGCGCTGTGCTCTTTTGTTGAGCTATGTTGGCAACTGACTCTCCCTGCAATAACCTTTCCAGATGCCATGTCGACAGACTTTCACGCCTCTGACTGCCACGAGACCTTGAGCCCAGGAAGCGCAGCGGGTTACAGTGAAAGTAAGTTTTCCTCCACAGTTTCTCCGCACATCAAATAACTGTCATGATTTAGGGGGGGGGGGGGGGGGCCTGACACCGTTTATGTGTAATCCTGTTTGCTTCCCATCTTCTGTGCAAAGCATTAACATGCACACTTTGCGCAGGGAAACCTGACAGAGCTCTCTCAGGCTGCACAATTGAGACTCCGAGCGACACTGCCGTGTTGCAAGGTTAGGAGGGCGCTGTGCTCTTTTGTTGAGCTATGTTGGCAACTGACTCGCCTTGCAATAACCTTTCCAGATGCCATGTCGACAGACTTTCACGCCTCTGACTGCCACGAGACCTTGAGCCCAGGAAGCGCAGCGGGTTACAGTGAAAGTAAGTTTTCCTCCACAGTTTCTCCGCACATCAAATAACTGTCATGATTTAGGGGGGGCCTGACACCGTTTATGTGTAATCCTGTTTGCTTCCCATCTTCTGTGCAAAGCATTAACATGCACACTTTGCGCAGGGAACCCTGACAAAGCTCTCTCAGGCTGCACAATTGAGACTCCGAGCGACACTGCCGTGTTGCAAGGTTAGGAAGGCGCTTTGCTCTTTTGTTGAGCTATGTTGGCAACCGACTCTCCCTGCAATAACCTTTCCAGATGCCATGTCGACAGACTTTCACGCCTCTGACTGCCACGAGACCTTGAGCCCAGGAAGCGCAGCGGGTTACAGTGAAAGTAAGTTTTCCTCCACAGTTTCTCCGCACATCAAATAACTGTCATGATTTAGGGGGGGCCTGACACCGTTTATGTGTAATCCTGTTTGCTTCCCATCTTCTGTGCAAAGCATTAACATGCACACTTTGCGCAGGGAAACCTGACAGAGCTCTCTCAGGCTGCACAATTGAGACTCCGAGCGACACTGCCGTGTTGCAAGGTTAGGAAGGCGCTTTGCTCTTTTGTTGAGCTATGTGGGCAACTGACTCTCCCTGCAATAACCTTTCCAGATGCCATGTCGACAGACTTTCACGCCTCTGACTGCCACGAGACCTTGAGCACAGGAAGCGCAGCGGGTTACAGTGAAAGTAAGTTTTCCTCCACAGTTTCTCCGCACATCAAATAACTGTCATGATTTAGGGGGGGCCTGACACCGTTTATGTGTAATCCTGTTTGCTTCCCATCTTCTGTGCAAAGCATTAACATGCACACTTTGCGCAGGGAAACCTGACAGAGCTCTCTCAGGCTGCACAATTGAGACTCCGAGCGACACTGCCGTGTTGCAAGGTTAGGAAGGCGCTTTGCTCTTTTGTTGAGCTATGTTGGCAACTGACTCTCCCTGCAATAACCTTTCCAGATGCCATGTCGACAGACTTTCACGCCTCTGACTGCCACGAGACCTTGAGCCCAGGAAGCGCAGCGGGTTACAGTGAAAGTAAGTTTTCCTCCACAGTTTCTCCGCACATCAAATAACTGTCATGATTTAGGGGGGGCCTGACACCGTTTATGTGTAATCCTGTTTGCTTCCCATCTTCTGTGCAAAGCATTAACATGCACACTTTGCGCGGGGAAACCTGACAGAGCTCTCTCAGGCTGCACAATTGAGACTCCGAGCGACACTGCCGTGTTGCAAGGTTAGGAAGGCGCTTTGCTCTTTTGTTGAGCTATGTTGGCAACTGACTCTCCCTGCAATAACCTTTCCAGATGCCATGTCGACAGACTTTCACGCCTCTGACTGCCACGAGACCTTGAGCCCAGGAAGCGCAGCGGGTTACAGTGAAAGTAAGTTTTCCTCCACAGTTTCTCCGCACATCAAATAACTGTCATGATTTAGGGGGGGGCCTGACACCGTTTATGTGTAATCCTGTTTGCTTCCCATCTTCTGTGCAAAGCATTAACATGCACACTTTGCGCAGGGAAACCTGACAGAGCTCTCTCAGGCTGCACAATTGAGACTCCGAGCGACACTGCCGTGTTGCAAGGTTAGGAGGGCGCTGTGCTCTTTTGTTGAGCTATGTTGGCAACTGACTCTCCCTGCAATAACCTTTCCAGATGCCATGTCGACAGACTTTCACGCCTCTGACTGCCACGAGACCTTGAGCCCAGGAAGCGCAGCGGGTTACAGTGAAAGTAAGTTTTCCTCCACAGTTTCTCCGCACATCAAATAACTGTCATGATTTAGGGGGGGCCTGACACCGTTTATGTGTAATCCTGTTTGCTTCCCATCTTCTGTGCAAAGCATTAACATGCACACTTTGCGCAGGGAAACCTGACAGAGCTCTCTCAGGCTGCACAATTGAGACTCCGAGCGACACTGCCGTGTTGCAAGGTTAGGAAGGCGCTTTGCTCTTTTGTTGAGCTATGTTGGCAACTGACTCTCCCTTCAATAACCTTTCCAGATGCCATGTCGACAGACTTTCACGCCTCTGACTGCCACGAGACCTTGAGCCCAGGAAGCGCAGCGGGTTACAGTGAAAGTAAGTCTGCCTCCACAGTTTCTCCGCACATCAAATATCTGTCATGATTTAGGGGGGGCCTGACACTGTTTATGTGTAATCGTGTTTGCTTCCCATCTTCTGTGCAAAGCATTAACACGCACACTTTGCGCAGGGAAACCTGACAGAGCTCTCTCGGGCTGCACAATTGAGACTCCGAGCGACAGTGCCGTGTTGCAAGGTTAGGAGGGCGCTGTGCTCTTTTGTTGAGCTATGTTGGCAACTGACTCTCCCTGCAATAACCTTTCCAGATGCCATGTCGACAGACTTTCACGCCTCTGACTGCCACGAGACCTTGAGCCACGGAAGCGCAGCGGGTTACAGTGAAAGTAAGTTTTCCTCCACAGTTTCTCCGCACATCAAATAACTGTCATGATTTAGGGGGGGCCTGACACCGTTTATGTGTAATCCTATTTGCTTCCCATCTTCTGTGCAAAACATTAACACGCACACTTTGCGCAGGGAACCCTGACAGAGCTCTCTCGGGCTGCACAATTGAGACTCCGAGCGACAGTGCCGTGTTGCAAGGTTAGGAGGGCGCTGTGCTCTTTTGTTGAGCTATGTTGGCAACTGACTCTCCCTGCAATAACCTTTCCAGATGCCATGTCGACAGACTTTCACGCCTCTGACTGCCACGAGACCTTGAGCCACGGAAGCGCAGCGGGTTACAGTGAAAGTAAGTTTTCCTCCACAGTTTCTCCGCACATCAAATAACTGTCATGATTTAGGGGGGGCCTGACACCGTTTATGTGTAATCCTATTTGCTTCCCATCTTCTGTGCAAAACATTAACACGCACACTTTGCGCAGGGAACCCTGACAGAGCTCTCTCGGGCTGCACAATTGAGACTCCGAGCGACAGTGCCGTGTTGCAAGGTTAGGAGGGCGCTGTGCTCTTTTGTTGAGCTGTGTTGGCAACTGCCTCTCCCTGCAATAACCTTTCCAGATGCCATGTCGACAGACTTTCACGCCTCTGACTGCCACGAGACCTTGAGCCCAGGAAGCGCAGCGGGTTACAGTGAAAGTAAGTTTGCCTCCACAGTTTCTGGGCACATCAAATAGCTGTCATGATTTAGGGGGGGCCAACACCGTTTATGTGTAATCCTGTTTGCTTCCCATCTTCTGTGCAACACATTAACACGCACACTTTGTGCAGGAAACCCTGATGGAGCTTTGTCGGGCTGCACAGTTGAGACTTCGAGCAACACTGCCACGTTGGAAGGTTGGAAAGACTTTTGTTTGTGTTCTTACTCTCCCTGCAATAACCTTTCCAGATGCCATGCCAACAGACTATCCCGCCTCTGACTGCCACAAGAGTAATTTTCAGCTAACTCGCACACCTCGATCATTTGACTTATCTGTTTGCGAAATCAAGCTTCTTTCTGACAGACAGAATGATACTACTTAAACTCAGCCAAATGGTTCTAGCCGGCAGCACGGAGACGAATGTGGACAAACTGAAGAGAGTCTTCATTGGAGATTCACGCAGAACCTCTCTGCATTGAGCTTGACTTAAAATCGTGAACGGAGAAATTGAGTATTTTTTGTGGCCTGACAACCTGAGCAGTGTAGACCTATACGCAGGGAGCAAGAGAGAACGTCGCAACTTAAGAGGCTCAGACGCTGGTTTGGGCAAGCCGGCCCAGATGTTCAGAACACGTCATATTGCATAGAAACCAAGGGCAGCATAAACCAAGTCAAGGCTCCAACTTCATTGCAAACGGAAAAATGGAGCCGAACCGTGTGTTCACTGCCAAGGAAATGCAGGCTAGGAAGAAGTGTCGAGCGCAGGAAGAACGTCTTCGGTATGAGGCGAAGCATGGTTTCGAACGTGAGCGCATGCTGGCTCATAAACGGGAAGTGGAACAGGGTGGAGGCAGTGAGACAGCAGCGGAACAGGAGAGCGTCGTTTAGGAGTGCACAAGAGTACTTTAAAAAACATTTCGTGCAGGACGAGTTTGATTTTGTTTGCTGTGTGTGCGATAGACCCTGGGTTTTGTTAGATATAAACACAAATGTTGATGTTTCCAATAGATGTATATATAACGCATCACTAGTGTCGTCTTACACCAGTCTCTGAACGACATCAAAATCACCGTCCAAGCAGCGACAATCGCACATCAAAGAAAGCTTTGCTTTTACACCAAATCCCTCATGGGGTGGGATTCACATTATTTTTTTCATGTTGCGTTTTATTCAAATCATGTATGTTTTTGCAGATCCCATGGTGTCTAGAGATATTGCTGCAAACTGCCTTGAACAACATCACGAAGAAACAATATCTGAACTCCGTCGTAAGCTTGACCTGGCCAACAAAAAATATCTCAAGCTGTCACGAGAGCTTCAGAATCTTAAAGGTATTAAAGTATTGAGTCTCGTATATGATTGCAAAACAAAAGGCAGCCAATAAATGTTACTAAACTTTAGTACAAAAATTCTAATTGTAGCACATGGGAAGAAATAGCAGCAAAGAAACTTAGACAAGAGTAAATGAACAAACACGACAGGAGGGCACTGAACTAACAACTGTTGTTTATTATACGAAAAAGGAAAGGAAGAAAACAGGAAGCATCTTAATCAGTAAAAATAGACACACACACACGCCAACAAGCAGCATATTATGTCACGATAAACCAAACCAGTGGCTACGTAATGCCCGTTATAGTCAATCGCGGGTACTTGAATTCTTTTTCACATAACGCCACTGACGGTTCGCTGACCTGCCAAGTTCCGAGATAAAAAGACTTGGTAATTTCCGTTGTCACTCTGCCTCTATGTCTTTCCAAAACAGTGACTTAACTAAAATTAGGCTGGCACTTGCAGCCCCTGCAGTGTAAAGGTAGCGGCCCCCCAACTGTGGCCCTGTGTGAATACAAATGCTAAGTCTGTCATTTAGGCAGCAGAGTGACAAGAGAAATTTCCGAGGCCTTTTTCATCTCGGAAGTTGGCAGGAGATGCGTCAGCAAACCGTCAGTGGCGTTACCTGAAAAAAACTTTGGGTACCTGCGATTGACTATGACGGGTATTACGTAGCCACTGATTTGGCCTATCGTGACATAACATGCTGCTTGGCTGGCATTTTTGTGTGTGTCTATATATTTTTATCTGATTAAGGTGCTTCTTGTTTTTTTCCTTCCCCCTTTTGCGTAATAAACAACAGTTATTAGTTCAGCGCCATCCTGTCGTGTTTGTTCCTTTACTGCTGTCCAAGTTTCTTTGCTGCTGTTTCTTCCCAAGATGTTCACCTCAAACCAACTAGCGCAACACGTCATATTGTTGTAGAACTTCTTTTTACATCCTTCAGATGACTGTAGAGGGCATCTTGCTGACGACCAGATCCTCTGTATGCAACAAAAAGATATGAGAGGCAACAGATGGTCTGGGGAGACTACCAAACGAGCCTTGCAACTCCGTCTTGCCTGTGGACACAGAGGCTACAACTTCCTTCGAGAAGGATTCCTGCCCTTGCCAGCCGAGCGAACGCTCCAGAAAAGGATAGAAGGAGTCAAGTTTCAGACAGGTATGAACAAAAAAATTTAAATGTATTCAAACACGTTTGGCTTCATTACCAAAAATGCAGACAGGTTTTCTTTTCCTTTTACGCAGGGCTTCTTCGAGAACTTCTTCCGGCAGTGGAGTGCAAAGTTGCAACTATGGGTCCCCAAGAGCGACACTGTGTGCTGCTCATGGATGAGATGCAGCTGACACCTGGCCTGGAGTATGACTGCACAACAAAGACCGTGATTGGGCAAACAACTTTGAAAGGCTGCAAGCTGCCGAGCAATGATGGCATCGTAACCTTTGCAACGCATGGGCTGGTGTTTATGCTGGCCGGTCTATCCACAAGGTGGAAACAAGTCATTGGTTACCATTTCACAGGTAAATGTGTCAATTTACGGTAATGGATAGATTTTTATGTCTCTTTATTACCATAATCATGTCAGTTACCATTAACATAGTCATGAAAGTGTAATTTGTCAATGGGGTACCTAATAACTCTCTTCCATTTCAGGCAGTTCTGTGTCATCGGACGACCTGAAAAAGATTGTCTTTGAGATTATTGTGGAGTGCGAGAAAATTGGTCTTGTGGTAGAGGTAATCGTTTCGGACATGGGCGCCTGCAACCAGGGTTTGTGGAAACAGTGTGGAGTGTCGGCAACTCGGCACAGTGATCCCATTGTCTCCTGCCCCCATCCGTGTGCTGTTGAGGGAGAGAACAGAGACCTCTTGTTTTTTGCCGATGCCCCACATGTGCTGAAAAACGTCCGGGGTCACCTCATACGTGAACAAACAATATTTTTGCCAAGAGACATCGTCGAGAAGCACAGCCTGCCAACAAATGAGGTGTGTGTTTTTTACTATTCTTTCCTTCTTGGGCAAGTTTAAGCGTAGCACCCAAAAGGAATACCCCAAAAGCGCTTCTGGGCTAGTGGTGAATAACACATCTTGCATCATTTTCTAGACAAAATATATATTTGCCTTTTTCGAGGCAAGGTTACTTCTACTGTGCGAATAATTGCGTGACTATAGTGGAGGAAAGATGCATAAGCAATAGAAAATAACTACTGACCGGAAGTTTCAAATTGCAATCAGATAGACCAGTGGTTCTCAACCACTGATGTTTCGCGGATCCCTTGTGGATCGACGGAGGTGATGGAGGATCCCATATGTGGTGAGGGAAGGCAAATATAAGGTCAGTTATGATAATTATTTAATAAATAGATATAGGTAAGGGAGCTAATTATGATAATTATTTATTAAATGAATATAACTAAGCGCTAGTATGAAGTAGACTTCTCTCATTGACACACACGAGAAAACTCATCCAAAAATCGGAATGTTTCTTCTTAATCTAAAAAAGACAACTTTTATTGCCGGGCTTGAGTGATGAGGCAGGGCTTCGCGGGCCCTTAGAATGCCTTCGCAGACCCAAAAGGGTCCGCGGACCCTCATTTCAGAACCACTGAAATAGACGATAGACATCATCATTCAGTTCGTTTGAAAACAAAAAAGAGGGAATGTAACAGTTCATCACTAGAACTAAATCTTTTACAGGTCTCTGTCGCACACATCAAGGAGCTGGCTGCAATTGATGCCCGTCAAGACCTTAAAGTTGCACCGCATCTAAAGGAAAAGTACTTGGAAACCAACCATTTTGAGAAAATGAATGTTGCCAGTGCAGTGGCAGTTTTGAATCGTGCTGCGGCTTCAGCAATCAGGTTGTTTGTACAGATGGGGCAGCTCCCACGTGAGGCCTTGGCAACAGCTTGGTTCTTGGAGATGGTAGACCGCTGGTTTTCATTGATGACATCCAGAAGCTTCGGTGTCGCCATGAGTAATGCAAAGGAAAATGAGCATGAAGATGCAGTGACATTCCTTAGGATGTTCATGAGTATGTTTAGACGGCTGTCCATTCGAGCACCAGGTCAGAATGTTTGTTTCAAACCTGTACAGGCGGGAGTTATTATTTCGACTCAGAGTGCCTTGTTGTTGCAGGAGAAGCTCTTGTCACAGCATGGCTTTAGATTCGTGCTTCTGAGCCGCGTCAGCCAGGATGCTCTTGAGAACTTGTTTTCGTGTGTTCGAAACAAGCATCCAGTTCCTCGACCACTGGAGTTTAAGTTAACACTGCGATTGATTGCTATGTCACAGTTCTTCTCTCCTAGTCGTCATGGTAACTACACGATTGACGATAGCGTTGATCTTACAGACTTTTTACAGTCCTCACCAGTGCCCATACAGGAGGAGGAAGTCTTTGACCCTCACTTCCTGCCAGAAGTAGTATTGAGTGCAAGTGAGCAGGAGTCCATGACTTACCTTGCTGGTTACACCTCACGAGCCATTGTGAGAAAACACAAACTCAGTGAAGAGTGCACTTCATTCTTGAAAGAAGCACCCGCAACATCAAACACTAGCCTGATTAAGCTTAAATCATACACCCCAAACAAAGCCAACTCACTGTTCACACCTGCTCGCAACGTGCTTGAACTTCTGCAGCATGCAGAGAACACATTCAGAGTGAACGAAAAAAAGATCCTGAACATCAGCATTGACAAGTTGACTACTATGGTGCTTGCCACATATCTCGGGAAACCATTGCCAACCTGCCACGGCCTGGCACAAAAGCTTGTACACATGTTCCTTTTGGTGAGGCTCCGCTTTTATCTGCGGAAACTCAACCTGTCTGCGAGCAAGAAGCCAAGCGCAAAATGCGGGAGTCGCAGCGTGGCAATGAGAGTTCTAACAGATAATGTGAAGTGATCCGTGTGAGGTAGCGATGTGTTCATTTGTACGTGGCAAGATCTGATGCACAAGCGTGTACACCCGGTCATCAATATGAATGTGAACACTGAACTGTCGACCGCTCTGTGCTATTGGCGCCATGACGCGGTGGCCCTAAAGGCGTGCCAGTCTTATCGCGCACCTCACCTTGATTAAGCGCTTGGATCAAACACCATTCTCAGATCTCCTCTACTCTCTGCAGAAAGGGGGAGGATGAGCTTCCACACTTTGTGCAGGGGGTAGCACTAGACCTAAGAACAGCATCCGGTCGAAGCACTTATCTTGGCAAACCGCGTAATAAGACTTGCAAGCCACCACGGAGCGGTCCATGGTCCAGAGTACAGCTTCATGTTGATGACGGGTTCATGTATGTTTCATTTGATGAGGTTCCACTTTTAACTAAGATACCACGATTGAAATAGTTTTGTATTGCAGCATTAATTATATGTACTCCTGTTAACTTGAAACATATCAGGGGAAGCCATTGTCACCTGCCATGACCTGATGCACATGCTTCTGCACATGTTTCATTTGGTGAGATTCCACTTCGCGTGCTAAAGGGCAGGCTCGAAATTGTGGGAGTTGTGGTGTTGCAGGGAGAGCTTTGGCATAGAATGTCAGGTGCCCTTTGCAGACTACCAACATGCTTATGTGTGTCATGTCGCCTCCTTGTTGAAATGTTTTTTAGAGCGCAGCTCTTAGGGGCCCGTTCCCGGCTTAAGCGGCGTCGCCGTCGGCGTCGGCGTCGCCGTCGCCGTCGGCGTCGGCGTCGGCGTAACCAAGGTCATCCCAAGGTCACGTGGCCCCCAAGGTCATCCCAAGGTCACGTGACCCCCAAGGTCACGTGACCCCCCCCCCCCCCGAGGTCACGTGACACCCCCAGGTCACGTGACCACCCCCAGGGTCACGTGACCCCCCCCCCGAGGTCACGTGACCTGGGGGTGTCACGTGACTTCGGGGGGGCATCCGCATCGTCATCGTCATCATCACAGATGACGTCATCAGAGTCCGCATCGTCATCGTCACTGATGACTCCCCAAGGTCACGTGACCCCCCCCCAGGTCACTTCACCCCCCAGTGTATCAGCTGGCTCTCAGCTGACAAGAAAGTCAGTCCGACACTGCTGACTTCGTGAACGCAACAACATCCAAGGTTTATTTGGCATCGCTTATATAGCCGAAAACAGGGGGGCGGTACCTGCGGCATGACTCAGTGCTATAGATGACATAGCATAAGCAGAATGATAAGATTGGCATGCGGTACCATATCGGCATGATACATCCCCCTTTGTTTAGTAAGAAAGACATAAAACAACCCAGGTTAACAAACGACAAGGGGAAACAATGCTAAATAATTTGTTCGAAATGCTGCCCGTACTGCAAGCGCTTGGGTGCAACCGTAGCTCGCGTAGATCTTCTCGGCGCTGGTGGAGCCGCGTTTGGTGTTCCTTGAACAGTTCGAGGAGTTGTCTGCGCACGAGGAGTTTCGTTGGCTCTTCCTTGAGCCCCTGGATGAAGTTGTACTTCCGCTCCGGCGTCTTCAAAGTCACTGGCATCGCTGTCAGCTGACGAGTCGCGATTGAATGTTTCCGGTGTTGCCAGAAGATGCTGACGGTTCCGCCGTAGAGTTGTTCCACTTTCCGTCTCCACGTTGTACGATCTGGGCGCCGCTGTACCCGTGACCTTAGCCTTTGAAGACCAGGTCTTACTCCTCACTCGGACGACTTGTCCTTTATAGAGCGGCTGGAGTCGCTGCCCCGCGGTCTCTGGCTGGCGATGCTTCTTGACGGTGGATGCCGGCTTCTTGACGGTGGATGCCGGCTGTAAGCTGAAGTCGGGAAGTCGCGTACGCAGGCGTCTGCCTTGCAGCAGCTCTCCCGGCGCACGGCCGTCCTCTAGAGGGGAAGAACGGTAGCCGAGTAAGCCCAACCAGAAATCTTCACGCGCATCTCCAGTTTTCTTTAGGAGCCTCTTAATAATCTGTACGCCCTTCTCCGCGAGACCGTTGGAACGAGGAAACTCGGGGCTTGAGGTGATGTGCTTAAAATCATATCGGTTGGCAAACGCGGCAAAGTCCCGGCACGAAAACTGGGGTCCATTATCTGTGCAAACCTCCACCGGAATTCCGTATCTTGAAAAGATGGCACACAGTTTGCCGATAACCGTGCTTGCAGACGTGTCGCCGAGCTTTTCAACTTCTGGAAAGTTGGAGTGTGCATCAAACACTGCGAGGTACGCACTTCCGGCGTAATGAAAAAGATCTACACCGACCCTGTACCAGGGATAATCCGGAACTTGACGAAGCAAAAGTGGTTCGCTTGGTTGCTTGTATGCATAAGTTGTACATGCGGCACACTTTCTTACAAGCGACTCAATGTCTGAATTTAGGCCTGGCCAGAAAACTAGACGTCGTGCCCTAGCCTTGCACTTGTTTAAGCCCAGATGGCCTTCGTGAATCCGTCCGAGCATTTCCGGTCGTAGTTTCTTGGGAACGACAACTTTGCACCCTTTCAACAAAATTCCTTCCACTACGGAAAGGTCCGAAGCGAACGGTTTAAGTTCCCCTTCGACGGCTTTATTGCTGGATATGTTTTCGACAACCTTTTGCAACTCTGGATCCTTGCGGGTTTCTTCAGCGAAACGCAGTTTTGTTGCTTCACTTACTAAGGATGACAGAATGCCGACAGCATGTACCTGAACGTCGATAAAGCCAGCGGTGTCCCCTGACGCAGCAGGCGCCGCCCTTGAGAGCATGTCAGCCAGGACCAATTCTTTGCCTGGAATAAACTGTAGTTTGTAATCGTAAATCATCAGGCGAAAGAAAAAACGTTGCAGTCTTGGTGGCATGTCCCCTATGTCCTTCGATGAAATAGCGATAAGAGGTTTATGATCAGTTTCTATGAAAACGCGCCGTCCATAGATGAAGTGATGGAATTTTTCACAGCCGTACGTAATTCCCATGGCTTCTTTTTCAATCTGTGAGTAACGACTTTCCGCCTCTGTCATTACCCGGGAGGCATAGGCAATAGGACGCCAGCTACTACCATGACGCTGCAGTATCGCCGATCCGAGGCCATCCTTTGAGGCGTCTGACGTTATCTTTGTTTCTTTTGTGGGGTCAAAAATCGCTAGTAATGGTTCTTTGCCGAGTGCTTCGCAGAGCACAGTCCATTCTTGTGCATGGTTTTCTGTCCATTCGAAGACAGTGTGCTTACGTATTAAACTTCGTAGAAGCTTTGTTTTCTCGCTGAGCGCAGGTAAATATTTTCCAAAATAGTTTACCACTCCCAACATCCGCTGTACGCCGAGCTTATCGGTTGGTGCTGGCATCTCGCGCAGGCAACTCACCAACCTATGATTTGGGCGGATTCCGACCTCGCTTATCACGTCCCCCAGGAAGGAAATTTCCTGCACGCCGAACTTGCACTTTGCCAAGTTGAACGTCAAGCCCGCTCGTTCCGCTTCACGGAGAGTGACCTTGAGGCGCTCGTCATGCTCGTGTTTAGAGCTTCCCCACACCAAAATATCGTCTATGTAAACCCTTACTCCTGGTAATGGGTCAAATATCTCGCTCAGCGTTTTCTGGAATACCTCGGGTGCTGACGAGATTCCAAACAGAAGCCTAAGGAAACGGTAGCGACCGAACGGAGTGCCGAACGTACAGATCCTTGACGTAGCTTCGTCCATTGGAATCTGATGAAACCCCGAGTTAGCGTCAAGCCGGGAAAAAAACTTCGCCCCGTGAAGCTCAGCCTCGATATCTTCGCGCTGTGGCATCTGGTAGTGTTCACGCTTCAAGCACGCGTTAATATTTCTAGGGTCCATGCATAGCCTAAGGCTGCCATCTTTTTTCTTCACAATAACAAGAGGGCTTACCCAGTCAGTGGGTTCATCCACTTTCCGGATGATGGTGGCCTTCTCCATGCGCTGCAGTTCTTCCCGCAGGGGCTCTCGCAGTGCCAAGGGCACCCGTCGTGCAGGCTGAACCACTGGCACGGCATCGTCATGTAGTACCATTCGGTACCGTCGCTTTACGCAGCCGGTGCCTTGGAACAGGTGGGCGAATTCTTGGGTCACCGGAACGGCGCTGCCCGTGCTTACAGAGTTCACCGTTCGGGACACCAGTCCCAGGAGCTGACTTGCCTGTAGCCCGAGAATGGCCTGACTTCGTTTAACAATGAAAAAGTCGACGCGGCAGTGATGCTGGTTGATCGTAACCTCCTGTGTTGTGACGCCGCAGTGTTTGATGATATTGCCGCTGTACGAGCGCAAGACCGCGTGGCTTGGTCTTAAAAACGGCTTAGGGTGCAGTCTCTTGTACACCGACAGGGGCAACAGGTTGGCTTGGGAGCCGGTGTCTACCTTCAGCGAGACCACTTGCTCCGCTAGCTGGGCCTTGACAATCCAGTCCCGTTCCTTCTCGATGCCACAAACACCCAGGTCCAAGATGTCGAAGCCCTCGTCGTCGTGCTTCACCTCGCTGACTTGTTTGTTGCAAGAAGCTGCGAAGTGGTTGCGTCCCTGACAGGCATAGCAAGTCTTCCCAAAAGCGGGGCATTTCCTCTTTTCGTGCCTCCTGTTGCACTTGAAGCACTGTTCGGTTCTTGAAGCATCTGAGCGGCGCTGGTAGCCTTTTGTGGTTGAGTCCACCTTTTCTTCGTGGGCATACCATGCTTCATTTTGTTTAGCGGAGGCTTCTGCGGCTTTGCAGGTTTGTTCTGCTTTCTGGAGCGTCAAATCCTTTTCCCTAAGCATTTTCTCCCGTAACTTTTTGTTGTTAGTGCCGAAGACGATTTGATCGCGAATCATTGAATCTGAAAGTTGTCCGAAGTTGCAGTACCTTGCTTGTTTCCTGAGGACGCGGATAAACTGCTCCACCGGTTCCGCCTCGTCTTGCGTTCTTGTCCGAAATACGTATCTTTCGTACACCTCGTTCTGCTGGTCCGCGCAGTAGTCCTCGAACTTTGCGACAAGGGTCTT